AGTATGATGTTATGCATAAGTTTTATGATAACATGTTACATGGATTTTTGAATTCAAGCGTTCTATCAATATAACATATTGATAGGGGGAGTTTGTTTAAACTCCGGGAGTTAAGGTTAACTCCGGCATCAATTGGTTGTCATCATAAAAAAGGGAAAGATTGTTGAATCTAGAATTTTGATGATGAAACCAATTGATAATTGTTTATGATTTGATCTGCGTTTTGAGTGATGTAGGATGCTTCGATCAGGATGAGACAATTAAAGTAGGAAGAATCATGTCGGGTCGAAGGATCAGTCGACGTATCGACAGAAGGGTTCGGGCCATGGATTCGGGCATCGGGCCAAGAAGAGCGGATATTGCACCAAGGATATCGGAGTTGCGGAGTCAACTGGCCAATTGGGCAATAGGATGCAAGAGAGGACGATGCGTCGAAGAATCAGACGAAGCGTCGATGGACCAATGACATGCCGGACAACATGATTAATACATAGTATTAATTGTCTAGATCGAAGTATGTTTTTACATGTGCAGGATTAACTATGATAGCAAGACATGAAGCAAAATAAAGTCCCGGAGTCAAGGACGTTATTTTGTTGGGAGTTCGAGAGTTCATCGGAAGTCTGAACATTTGTCGGAAGTTCTGTCGGAACCAGCGGAGAAGTCTCGGAGCTGTTAGGAATAGGGTCGGCACTAAGAGGGGGGGTGAATTAGTGCAGCGGTAAAATCACGTCTTCAAAAATATTTTGTTTCGATAAAACCAGTTTCGTAAAGATGTTAACCTGAAATTGTATAGAAACGTAGTGAAGGAGGAATTCAATTTGCAATAAGGTAAATAGCAAGAAGTAAATGCAAACCAGATTTTAGAGTGGTTCGGTTGTCGTGACCTACATCCACTTCGTTGATTCCTCTTCTGTCGAGGCCATTAGCATCCATTATCGATCTTCCTTTAATAGGCGAAGATCAACCTCCTTCCCTCTTCTCCTTTTCATAGGTTTAGGAGATAACCTTTACAAGCACACACACTCCTCTCTAAACAGAATTCTAAACTTAGAATTTAGAGGAGAGGATTCACTTATGATTGCAATAGCATTTTCTCACTTTTAATCTCTCTGTGCTTGTGTCTATTAATTAGGGATGAGAGGGGTATTTATAGGCTTCAAGTTGATTCAAACTTCGAGCCTAAAAACATCTCATCTCAGATTTCCCGGGTTCGGGCAGTACCACTGCCTGCGTTGGGCGGTACCACTACTAGTGTCAGTCTGGCACTGACATTGCACTGGGCGGTACCACCGCTTGACACTGGGCGGTACCACCCCCTGTCACATTCTCGGAGACTATACCACGATGGTGTCACCTCTTGGGGTACTGTTTGGGCCTCTCATTGGGCCCAACACAGTCCTTACATGGGCCCAACTGGCCCCT